CAACAAACATCTGCGTCCGTTGTGTCTGCATTTCACTGAGCCCATGAGTCATTAATGAAGTTAGTTCACTCACCGGTCGGTGGTGCAGACTCCCGCCGCTGTCACTTGTAACTAAAGCTGAACTGAAGTCAGACCATGGGGCTTCAACAAAAAACTGCTTCTCCGTGGAGGATAAAGTCCGCCAAACTTTCCACCAATCCACTCACTTCTTCTTCTTCTTTTTGAGTTTTTAATCCAGCATATTCAGTGCATTACCGCCACCCTCTGAAAGCATGATAAATCCATTTGCAGTGATATGAAATTCCTAATCAGGTAACATCATTTGATGGGTTACAGAATTTGGTGAAACACGGTGCAGATAAAAATTACAGTGGTCCTTAATTTTGATTTAGGAGTCAAATCAGTCTTAGCACAAAGTAGGATTGTCATTAGGACTAGGAAATAACTATATGCCATTTGAGATGTTCACACAAATATTTAGCATATAGTAACCCTTTCAAGTGAGAAGAATCTCTGGAGGTTCTAATAAATGTTTCCATGTAAAATAACAATATGTTTATTGATTTTTTTTCTAAAACAGAACTCAGGGGTCGAAAACCTTTCCATAAAAATGTTTACTTGCAAGTTTATATATTCAGATTTGTCATTTTTATGTTTTATTGGCATTCAAACTCACCTGCATCCTTCACAGCTCAGCCGATGTCATACATAGTGCACATTTCCTTATTGAAACAGACGTGGTTAATGTGAACATTTGATTGTATCAATACTGAATCCATCAAAGTCATGAACTTGTGTGTTGTACAGGGACTGTGGTTATTGGGACACACCTTCTGTATCAGGCATTTTCAAAATATAGAGACTGTGTAGCTGCTGCCTACTGACTTAATTTCGATGAACTTAACACTGACACTTTACTCTGAGCAGCTTTATACACACTGGCTCCGAGACTAAAACCCAGCCTTTAATCCTGTCTGGCAAAAAAAAATCAAACTCACTTCTGCGTCGTACCACTTAATACATTCGTCATCGTCATATTAACATCTTTGACCTCTTAGTTGTTCTTGATCTGAAACTAATGTCAGGGCCATTTTATTATTCATTCGTTTAACAGATTTAACTGTTCAGTTATATTTAGTATATTCTGAAAGTGGTTGCAAAGACTTTTCTGCACTGCCAGATTCTACTACTTTTCCAAAATAAACATCTGCTTTATTGACTCATCTCATTTTCATATCAGCAGACCCAACAGGGACTCCTGCACCTGAGGCCAGTAAATCCTGCTCTAAACCAGTGGTGACAGTTTTGTCACAGGGAAATAAAGTTAATAAAGAAATGGGCACATTTAACTGGTTTCATCATATTAATCTGAAGTATTTTCATGAATCAGTTATATACAATGTAAGATCCCCAAAAAAAACATAGTGGCAAAGCTCTGTTAGCAAAGTTGCAATTGTACAATGATAAGTATACCATTATTGTACATGTACAAGATCATAGGTTAGAAGAGGTTCATTCTGAATGTACATGAAGGCCGATGTATTCTCAATTGTAGCTTTACTTCCTGGAGGGAACAAGGAGGCCATTACTCCATGCCAAAATATTCACAACCCCTCTCTCCACTGGTGTCTCCTCAATCATTTTACAAATGGTCATATTTTACAGTAATGTCAACAGCATGGCCTCCTCAGTCAAATATATATATTGCGCCAGTCCATGAACATGTGAAAATGCCTCTGATAAAGACTTCATCATTTCAGTGAGAGGGAGCTTACTCCTCTAGCTGCTGCTGCCGCTGCGTCTTTAGCTGCAAGCAGAAAATAAGAGACAGACACAGTCAGCTTGACACACAGCATGGGCACATAAACAGTGACAGTATGGAGGCTGATGTTTGAGCTCTCTGTGCTGATTACTAACCATGTTCCACTGTACATTTTCCAGCTGGCCGTTCACTAAGCCTTTGTGCTTCTTAGTTACCGTCCAGACGAGAACTAAACATTGACACTGACTGTTTGGGTACTGTGTGACTATCAGCACTATAATACTTGGAAGTTACTTCATAGAACATGTTTACATTTCAACTATGTACTGTGTGTGTGAAATATCCTGGAGAGTAATATCTCAGATGCTAACAATAAGTTATGGAGCTGTATTGTTTCATATCTATTGTTTTTCAGATTCACTAATTTACACAAATTGTATTATTTATTCGTACATTTAGAACCTTAATTTAATTTTAGGTCGAGCTTTTAGGATTGCACCCGCTTTCATTGTACTTGATGCAAAGACAACAAAGGAATTTTAATCTAATGGTATGCACGTCAAGTTATCCATTCTTGCACACCACACAAATGACGGAGTTTAATTTACCACTCAAAGTATCTCGTAATCTTTGAAACAATTGGAGCAGCTTCACATAGAGTTTGCCAGCTGCGGCTGGCTGGCTAATTAAACTCATCTTAGCTTCATGAGTCGGTTGAAAACACTTACTCCAGCTGACGTTTTAATGTTTCCAGCAGAGTCTTTTGAAAAAAGAGAACTCTGTAAAGGAGTCCTAAATATACCCTAGCTGGATTCCTACATTACATTAGACTAAAAGATTGAGGCTAAAGCTGTCCAAAGCAAAAAGTTCCTCACCAGCTGATCCGAGTAGAAGACATGGAAATACATAAAAAACACTTTTCTGGTATTGCAGTCTTGAGGCATTTAGTCCTGGTGTTATAGTAAATATGATTTAATTCTAACGTACTGTAAACTTGTTTTGCTGCTTATCTTACTTGGACAAAAACACAGAGGTTAGATTTATGATTTATTGTTCGTATCTTCAGACACTACATTTTCACTTTTAATGTTGGTGGTGAAGCTGAAAAACAAATGCTCCATTAACAAGGCTACACGTTAAAACATTTTAAAAATCTTAACAGGCTGAAAAGATTCATCATCACATATTTAAGCACTAACTTTTGTAGCAGATTGAGTTTGAAGTTGAGGACAGGCACGCAAAATAAATTAATTAATCAAGCGATATCGTTTTGACTCCTGCTGCTCTGAGGCTCATTTTGGAGATAAGAGACTGCTGAACCTTCACACACACACCACAAGATTAAATGAGTCCATGGTGACTTGCAGAGTGTGGTAATGTAAATAAGCCTTCGTGACCACATCACGGTTCTAATGTGATAAATTGTGTAGAGTTTCCCCTGGAGTAGAGGAAATTTACAAGCTGTTTAATACAATCATCACTGTACAATAATTACCATATGACATGTTTTGCTTACCCTTTTTCTTCTTCTTTCTTTCTTGCCGCCTCTTCTCTCTGTTTCTTGATTATGGCAAGGCGAGCAAGGTCAGCTTTGGCCTGGTCCGTCTTCCCTGCCAAGTGCATCTTCATGTAGCGCTCCTTGGCCTTCTGCTTCTCAATCTCCTCTCTGCACCAGAATGAGAGTGTGTGTGTGTGTGTGTGTGTGTGTGTGTGTGTGTGTCAAGGTGGGGAAAGTGACATAAGGAAACTATTTTGACTGGATATTATAGAAACCTAATGTCAATGCTTCATACTGCTCCAAATGTCATGGCATGCAACTTCAATTTTACTACTTCTACTACATGTTAAAACATGAAGTTCCCATTTAGCACTGTTACTGTATAACTTGTGTGTTTTGACATGAAACCCACACCTCTCTCTCCTTGATAACTGCCTGGGCTCATCCACCTCAATCTGTGTCACCTTCTTGGACTTCTGAGCCACTCTGTTGGGGTTCTCGATCTCTATCAAGCCCTCCACACCCGCTCTTCTCCTCTGCAAACACATCACAACACATACAGCATGAAGTGCTCTGAATACAGCAAACAATGAATGACCACATTCATAAGAAGAAGTTACAAGGAGCTCCACACATGTACACAAAATACTATTAATCAGTACATATATATATATATATATATATATATTATATATATATATATATATATATATATATATATATATATATAAATAAAACTGTGTGTGTGGTATCAGAGCAACAGAGTGACATAAACATTATGGCAGTACCAGGGAATTTTCATCATCGCTGTCATCTGATCCTGACGCTGGTAGCTTCTCCTCTGCCGTGTCGTTCGGAGCTGCACCCGCCTCCTCCGCCTCCTGCTCTTGCTAGGACATATGAACAGGAGAACATCATTAAACCAGCTCAAGGGTTTCTGCCTGTTAAAAGTGAGTTTTTCCCTGACAGTGTCACCAAGTATTTGCTCATGGTGCAAATTGTTGGGTCTCTGTAAGTAATATTACAACGAGTACAGTCTAGACCAACTCTATATGAAAAGTGCAATGAGATAACTTCTGTAATGAATTGGCTCTATATAAATAAATGTTATTGAGTCAAATAGTGATTTGGTATTACAGGAGTACTCCAGCAGAATCAAAATCTCTTTCCATTGGAATTATGATTTTTGGGAGGAGTAGGTCAGCATTTCTGGAGCTTGACCAGTACTTTAGTGAAGAGCTGCACACACACTTGACCCTGTGTGGCACAAGATTAAAAAAGTCTTTGGATGTACACACTCCACCAACCTTTTTCCTCTCCTTCTCTGCCTTCATCTGGGCGTCTATCTCATCGGGGCTGGTGTACGTCCGCACGCGACCCTTATGGCCACCTTTCTTACCTGCGAAGATGAAAAATGACAACACACACACAGATTTGCATCCCCCTTGTACGCGACAGCGAACAGACAGGTGTCAAAGGAAGCAGAGCGGCCTATAAACATTTCTTGTTTACTGTTTAACACCATCCAAAGCTCAGATCTGTAAGTTTTAATGCAGTTTATTAGTCTAATACTAAAGAGGCGTGTCGCTGTTGTGTAGCTAACAGCAGGCTAACAGATGTAAAACAACTGACTTCAACTAAATGCAGCAGGTTTTAAGATCATTCTTACCTCCTCTGGGCATTTTGACAGACGAAGCCTTTACTGTAAGCGCCCTGACAAGTAAACGCTGACACAAAACATAAGTGTTAAAAGCAGCAGCACAAACTGACAGCTGACTAAACTCACAGGCTGGATGAGTAACACAATACTCTGAGTAGTTCAAGCATTTCCCTTTTAACAAAGCTTCAGTACAGGAGGGTTTCACGTATTTAGTAAACGCGTTTGCTGGTATAAACTAAATTATGTTAATATTTCCATATAATCCCACAGTCGCCTGACTAAATGACGCGGGTTATTAAATGCAAGGACCTGAATCATGTTGTTTATCTTAAGGCAGTTTGTTTGGGTGCTAAAGTGATGCAATCTGCCAGGGGCGACAGAAAAACATCTGCGTCGGTTTAATCTCAGCAAACGTCTTTATACTGACCTGAATAGATGTTTACATGAACATATATAGCGTTTAAGTCTTTAAGAGGTAATGAAACGCCAATAAATGGAGGGTGTTTATTTGTGGCGGTGACGTCGTTCATGAGACGACAAGTTGAAATGGACCCCCACGGTGACGTCATATTACAGCGACAGAGCCTGAGACGGGTTCACCAAATAAAAACGAAAACACCGTGAGCTTTTGTTCAGTTTTGTACAAAAATTAGAGCAACATGCCCAAAGTAAAGAGGAGTCGGAAGCCGCCCCCGGACGGCTGGGAGCTTATTGAGCCCACTTTGGACGAGCTGGATCAGAAAATGAGAGAAGGTGAGACGGAAACGGTAAAAGATGATTGTCCGACGGTCCTCACAACACCTGGCCGTCTGTGGTGGAGAAATCATTTCAACCGTAACATCGCATTAACTCTAACTGTTCACAGATGCCCATTCAATTTGATTTTACAACCGATTAATAAATGTTTAATGGAAACACTAACGTTAGTTTGTTAGCACGAAACTCGCATTAATCAACGAGTCAAACGTTACTGTTGGTTGTAACGTTAGTTCAGTCAGATGCAAATGTTTAATTTTCAGTTTTCACTTTGTGTTTTTTAGTGATGGGCAAATGAAGCTTTTGTGAAGCACCGAACCTGAGCCAATTGTTTCGAAAATGGGTTCGTTACGCGAAGCTTCAGTTACAGTGACCTCTCATGGCGAAGTGCAAGGCTGCAGGCAAATTAGGCGGTCTTGTTGATGGACAGGAGGATTTTAATTACATACACGCACGCACCTCAATGAGCGGTGTTTGAGAAACTACTTTACTTATGTAAAGAAAAAAAAGACTTTTAGTTCTGAAGCATCTTTGCTTTAATAACCCTTGGATTTAAAGTATGTTTAGTTTGAAAAAATTGTTTGATGCACACACATTAAGACTGAACATGATGTTCTATTTACAAATAAAGATTGCTGAATGCCTGTATTGTGTTATTGAGGAGTGAGTGCAGGGGAAATATGGCATAGATTGGGTGTGTTTGTGTAACTATGGCAGGGGGTGATTGGGTGGGATGGGGAACACAAACACTCCGAAGATTTCGAGATGATCGAGGATGATCAGTGCCAATGAATCACCTGATTGGAGCGCAAACCATCAGTGGCAGATCTCACTGAATCTTTTGTTGTGAATGAGTGCAAATCTCATCAGACAGGTTCCAAGCTCTTGTGGAAAGTACTCGGTTAAGAGAGGAGGCAACAGATTAATGCTTTTCCTCAGAAATGATCTCACTATCCATGGCGCTATTCACACCTTAACCAGAGAGGCGTTTTAATTACCCAAGCAGGTGGAGCACCATTTTAATTTTAATTTCTTCTTACCTAATCTAACTTTCCTGATTTTCCTCTGTGTTCCAGCTGAAACGGAGCCCCATGAGGGAAAGCGGAAGGTGGAGTCCCTTTGGCCAATTTTCAGGCTGCATCATCAGCGGAGTCGATACATCTTCGACCTCTTCTATAAAAGGAAAGCCATCAGCAGAGGTAGACAGATGTGTGAAGTTTATTAGATTTTCTGCAATTACATGCCTTACATAATTTCCATGTGTAACAATTTTGTGAGAATTCAACATTTTTCAAGTCCCTAAGACTTAATTAAAGATGTTTGTCCAGCATATTTTCCGCCTTGCAAGAAGATTTTGCTCATAATTAGACATATGAAACACATTCATGGTTAGACTCTGCGTAAAAGATGCCAAACCTGTGTTGTCTTTCTGTGCGTGTCTCCTGACAGAGCTGTATGAGTACTGTATAAAGGAAGGCTATGCAGATAAGAACCTGATTGCCAAGTGGAAGAAGCAGGGCTACGAGAACCTGTGCTGCCTGCGTTGCATCCAAACACGAGACACCAACTTTGGAACCAATTGCATCTGCCGAGTTCCCAAGAGCAAGCTGGAAGTCGTAAGTCTGACAGAACACTATTTTAATCATTTTGAAAGACAATCCCATTGGTGCCCTTCTGCTTTACATTATTACTGCCAATGTCTAAAGAGACATGAGTGCAGATATACACTTCAAAATCAGATTTTATTGATCCCCGAGGAGAAATTCTTTGTCACAGTTGCACACAAGGCAAAAGGAATATAAAGAAAGAAAGTGGTATGTGAAGAAATATAAATATCAGAGTAAAAATGTAAAATAAAAGAAAATATATGAGTGTGATGTACAGTATTTACATAATTAAAGGAATTGTTATTGTGAACAGTAATAATGAATAAATAGTAGCAGCAGAATTGCAGCAGATAGTATTGCACACTAAGTAATTAAGCAGGTGTTATTGCACAAAACGGATAGTAATGACCAGTTTAACTTTAACTAAGTGTCCGTGTGTCAGACATTTAGAGGGAGGAGTTATAAAGCTTGATGGCCACAGGCAGGAATGACTTCTTGTGGTGTATTTTGGGGGAATGAGTCTTGCACTGAAAGTGCTCCTGTGTTTGAGCAGCACGTCATGGAGTGGGTGGGAGACATTGTCCAAGATGACATGTAGTTTGAACTGTATCCTCCTCTCTGACACCACCGACAGTGTCCAGCTCCACCGCCATTATGTTACTGGTCTTACGGATCAGTTTGTTGAGTGTGACTGTCAGCGTCCGCTACCCTCAACCTGCTGCTCCAGCATGCAACAGCAAACAGGATAGCACTGGCCACCACAGACTCATAAAACATCCTCAGCATTGTCCTGCAGCTGTTGAAGGACCTCATCCTCCTCAGAAAATAGAGACGGCTTTGGCCCTTCCTGTAGAGGGCTTGAGTGTTCTTGACCCAGTCCAGTTTATTGTCAATGTGCACTCTCAGGTATTTGTAATCCTCCGCAATGTCCACACTGACGCACTGGATGGAAACAGGGTTCACTGGCGCCTTTGCGTCAGCTGTTAACCTGAGAGCTGGAGGAGGGGGGAGTAGGGGTCTCCAAGGAGGAGGGCTGGGGGACAGTGAGGTGGAGGGGGGAGTAGTGGGGTTGGAGATGTTTGAGGGCTGACAGCAGCTGATATAGTAGGGGGATGGGCAGTAGACATGGCATTAAATCTGTTAAAGAACAGATTAAGTTTGTTAGCCCTGTCCAAGCTGCCTTCAACTCCTCTGCTGCCAGTTGGTCTGAAGCCAATGATGTTACACATGCCGCTCCAGACCTCCCTCATGTTGTTCTGCTGGATTTTAAGCTCCAGCTTCCACCTATACTTCTCCTTAGCCTCCCTGATCTTGAGAGATAAAGTAAAGACAACGCTATTAACACAGGGTGCTTTCAAAGACCTGAATGAATGATGATTTAATCTGAATGATTTAACATGCTTTGAACCATTTCACTATTTAGTTTCAAGTTTTGTTGTTTTTTACACAGCCACTGGTCTAGTTAGTTACAAGAGGCTGCTGTTTGATTGATCAAGTCAGACAAATGAGCGAGCCAGTTTTTGCTGTAATAATTTAAGAAATGGAATACTTACTGGAGGAAAGGAAAGAGTGACCGTTATCCAGTTACTTTCTTAAATGTTAAGTCCCTGTGTGCCCTCGTGGTCTAAATCCTGCTGTTTATTCCTCTCTGCAGGGAAGGATCATTGAATGCACTCACTGTGGATGCAGAGGATGCTCTGGCTAAACGCTTTTTTTTTTTTTTGGAGATCTGGCCTATTTTCCGTCGGGGATTCGGGCCTCCATTTGTGCACTCTCAAAACCCCAAAGCAACATTGTCTTCATTTCAGTCACCTGCATCAGAAACAAATCGCTGATATCTTTGCCACCATCCTCAGCTGCCCTTAAGGGGGTCAGTATTTAGTTTTCTCTTCACACTGAGGGGAGCCAAGGAGAAAACATTGAGAGGGGCCACATTGTATTGCTTACATTTGTTTTTGTGTATTTTTTTCTCTTAAATATTTTGTGCCCTCAACTCCAAAAGCTCAAAGTAGGAAGTTGAGGTTAGCTGTTTCTGGATCAGGCCTGTCATTCCAGCTAGTCACTGTGAAGGTCAAATGAAATTCTAATAATGTTTCATGTCATTTGAAGAGGGCTGGGAGAAATGCTTTTAGTTTGAAATGTCATTGTTCTAAACCTTAAAACTTTTTACTCATCATTGTTCTTGTAGTCTTATTTTAAATTAAACTCTTCTGATTTACGTCTCTTACTTTTTGGATGCAGGTTAAGTGTGGGATTCACTACAGTCTAAGCATAACATCATCATATGAATTAAAAAACAGAAAAACATGGACTGTAGAGTTGGATTGTTACATACCTCTGTAGGTAGGATAAATCACTAGAAGGTTGAAGTCCTCAAACAGAATTTTCTAATGACTCTATAAGTTAAACGTGTCAATATGTTTAGTTTGTGTGTCTGTATTTCTTTTTCTCTTGGTGACTGCTGCAGATGCTCCTTTCCTTATCAGAAAGGTGAGATTTAGCTGTTTGAGGAGAAGCTCCAAATAACTACATTGGTATGTTTTGACTAAAATATTAGTCTCTGTGTGTCTGAGCTGTGGCTTCATGAGCACAAAGCAAAATTCTATTGAGTTTCTAGAAAAACAAGGTCAACATTCCCAAAATGCTGTCATTCAGTCCCCTCTGCTTAATATGGTTTTACTACTAAGAAACAGTCACTCTTGTTGTCGACCTTATTTCCATGTTTACTGACTTCATTGGAGAAAATACAGCTTACATGTCACAGAGCAGATTGTTACTCTGTATCTTCATAATTTAAGGTTAGACTGTCCAGTGGGAAATTGCAGATATTCTTTAATTTGTGGTATTTTGTCATCTCATCTGAGGCACCAACATTTCAGAAGATCTTTAGTTCAAAGTAAATCTTATCCTGTCACTGTACAGCTGTAGAAATACTGCGCCTCCGGCCAGCTGATGTGCATGAGAGCTCTGCTTCTGTGCAGCCCTGTAAGATCACAAAGAAGCTGCTAAAGAACAAGGACCCTCCTGCATCTGAGGTGTATCTCCCATGAATGTAGCCAGCCCACTCACTCAGTCCCTGCAGAGTGACCAGTATTTTTCTTCAGTCTACTACCTTGCCTTCTGCTGCTCCAGCAGGGCAAGCATTTATTATTCATGACACATAAAAAGCTCACATATCCATCATAGCTAAAATCAGTTAAGAGTCTGTTTGCAATATATGCCCTTGCGAACAGACTCTTGGATGTGGCCCTTAAAAAATTGACACCAGTAGCCAGGTGGCCTTGCCCCTAAAATGATGAAATTCCAGGCCTGCTTCTCATAATGCTAAAAAATAACAGAAGAGGCTTAAACTCCAGTGACTGTGTGAAGGGTGTTTTTATTACAGTAAAAGAAAAAATACAAATTTTTTTTTTCACAAAGACTACTATATCTGTTAGTAATTATATCAATTTATTATATGTAAGGAGTCAAACTGAGAAAACAACAAAACCAATTCCAATATGGACAAAATACAAATCAAATATAATCATTTAAAATTAGATTAGTGTGAAATTAGTGAATACGCCAAATACTTGAGAAAAATAATGGATCAATTATCAAATCTTAAAAAAATTAGTAAAGTACAGAATAAAAACAAAGTAAAAGAGTAAAATGTTTGTTACATGTAAAATGAGTTGGACAACAGATGCAGTTAAAAGGTTAACAAAACCTCAACTCACAACTCTCTCTTATCATGGGACTCAAGTCCTATTCAAATACAAGTTTCATGCATTTTCATAATCAATAACACTTCATCAATTCATTCTCAGTTCTTTGCTCAAACAGTTTACAAAAAACAGTTGCAGAGATACAATGTACAACTTCTATCAAAACTACAAATCCTGTAATGATGTCTTTTAATGAGACCTGTAATATAAAAATGGTAATTTGTTATTTAGAATGAACTCAATTATTCACATGTCTGATAAAATGTCTTAGCTTAAACTCCTACACCTTTCTTTGATCTTTGATCTCAAAAAAAGTTTTTTGAGAAGTATAAAACTTAGAACTGTCATGTAAAAAGGTTTTTAAAAAAACTCAAATCATAGCTCGTTACTTTTTTTAGAGGAATAAAAATACGTCTAATATCTGACAACTTAAATAATTTTTCAAGTTTAAATGTTCACATACAAATGTCATGCATCTTCATCATCTTGTAAAATAATAATTAGATCAGAAACCTAAATGACTTTTCCCTAATCTGTCTCTGTTTTTATGATCATCCTTTGAAGGCGAACAAACACATAATTTGTCATTACACATACATTGTGCTCTTCTTTGCCTCAGGACATTTTCAGGATTCCTATTTACTGTTAATGTTATACTACAACTTACTAAACTGTACATAAGACAATAAAACATTGATCAAATGATGAATTTGCACTATCAATCATTTTGGAAAGGCATCATCCTCAATACCGCAATTAAATCAAAAACTCCTAATACAGTTAAAGACACTTTGGGCTTCTGTTATTTGAGTAGAGCTCGGTTGTTTCTGGGTCACTACAGATTGTACATTTCAACCAGACTTTTAATAGCTTCTTCTTTACTGTGTTTTCTCCACTCATTGGGAATTTCTCCTCTGCCCTGGAATTTTAATTTATGGTGGTCTTCCAGTTGCTCCTGAAATCGACACACAAACCATTTCCAGTATGTCAGTTTAGATGCATCAGGAGTAATCTGCCACGTAGCATACTTCTCTCCAGCATTTTGATACCGTTTGTAAGGAAAAGTCTCTTTTGAATCATGCTCGGGGTAGAAACATCCATCACTTGCAACTAAAGTTGTGCAGAAGTCGATGACCAGTTCCACTGTGTTTCTAACGTGCCATCCCCTGATCCCAGAGGGGCGATGAAAAGGGACATTGTGTTTGTCTGGACTGTGATTTTTCATGGTGTTGGTACAAACAGCTGCACAGAATGGACACGTGACCCAGCAGCAGTTACACAGCTGATCGATGAGGATTTGATCAGGTTTCAGTCTGAATTCCTCAATCTTATCCAGTGAGAGGCTGCTCACTTCCTTCATGATGGATATAAGGCCTCTCTCTATCTGTTCTTTCAGAAAGTCAAAGTTGTTTATGTCTTTGAAGTTTTGACAACAAATGGGGTCAAATGTTAACTCATCTTTTAACAAACTGGAAAACTCTTCCACCCACATGTCTGTGTCTCCTCTCTGGATTTTGACTTCCTCTGTTGCAGTAAATAAAGCTTGACTCACACATTTATTGATGTCTTCAACATTTTTCTTGAGTATATTTCGTGCTTTATATCTTTGTTCTGTGAAGATGTATTTCTTTACTTCGTCTTTTATGAAAGTCTCAACTTGCTTCCTTGGGTGTTGGATGTAGGTGATAAAACCATCCAAGTCCTCTTTCTCAGCCAGTGACTTCAACACATGTTTCTCCAAGTTCAGCCTGTTCCCACTGAATGCTGGGAAACTGCACTTCATCTCTCCAGCGAGATCAATGGCAGTCTTGTTACAGACAGCCTCGACAGTGGAAACCTTCAGCTTTTCACAGATCAGTCCTCCAAGCACAACAGCAGACGAGCTTCCTCTGCAGAAGCTTCCGAAAATGTTGTAATATTGCATCTTCTTGTTTTCTAAATAAGTGAGGGCATCGTTGTTCATTTTGAATTTCTTATGGGACTGTGAAAGCCAACTCTCTGCTCTGTGAAACACATACAGCAAGAGGTCAACTGTAAACTTCTTCTTCAGAGTATATTTCCTCTTTGATTCAAATTCTGTCACTTTTGTTTGAACATTTTTGGCCATTTCTTGCAAGTAAGTTGGACTGTAGCCTCTTGTAGCGACAGGTTTGCTTTTGATCATGTCTGTGGTCTGCTGTTCGACATCGTCAATGAGGGATCTGATCCGTTCCTGATCTTCATGCTGGAAATGCTCCTTCAAGTAAAGCCCTACTTTTGTAGCTTTTTCTGCAACAAATTTAGTAATTTGGCTGTAAGCATCTTGGTGCTTTGTGAGGGTTACATAATGAATGTAATTGCCAGCCTCTGACATGTTGTTGTACTTGCCACTGCTTTTGGATTCATCTATAAGAGACCACTCAAAACCAAACTCTTGAAGGACAGTAAACTGATCTTCTTTCAAGTTGATGTCCTCAATAGGTTTAATATCTGCAGTTAGCTCAGTGACCCAGCTGCTCCAAACAGAGTTGAACTGCCTTTTAAGTTCCTCTTCATCCTTTGCTTTGTCTTTTAACTGATGAGCGAGCTCTTTGCTCTTTTGTAGCAGCTTGTTCTCAAACTCTGTTTTCTTATCATCTGACTTTTTACAAGCATTCTTCTGCCGGATAACTTCTTCCAGTTTTCGTTTAACTCCTCCCACTTGTTCATCATGAAACTCCTTGATTTTGCTTTCAAATCGTCCTCGCCACTGAACCAACATTTCTTTGTCTCTGTTGTCCTCAAAGTACGTTGTCATTGCTTTTTTGATTTCTCCATATGTTTGGCTCATTTCTTTAAACAGATAATTGAGATCAACCTTGTCAAGTTTTCCATTTTCAATTCTGGTATAAAGCTGGTTCTCAATGGTCAACATGTCGCTCCTCAGGGTCCAGGTCCAGTTCCCATACTGCACCTCAAGTTTCCTGTAAACTGCAATTTCAAGTGTGTTTTTGAAACTGAAAACAAAGTGTTCGTTCATCAGGGCATTCCATAAGTCCTGAATTTTGCCTTTGAACTGTGAGAGAGTAATGCCAGCAGACTGTGAAGCTTTAGAGAGGATGATGCTCTTCAGCTCTTGGACACTCTCACTATAACCTGGATTTGGAGGAGCCATAGGTGGACTTCCCTCCCATAGTTGGGCAAAGTACTTCACATCTTTCTGCACGTCAAATGCAATGACGTCACTGAAGCACTCTGCATCACAAACCTCCTCTTTGGCTGCTAGTTGGGCCATCAGGTCCAGTTTTTCTTGCAGGCGTCTCTTTCCATCCATGTTTTTCTCTGCAGCTGCAATATCTGTAACATTCTGGTGAACAAACACACAACTTGGAGAAAGTTTAACCTTCTTCATCCTCATGAAAGCCTGAACAACAATCTGCAGAACATCTTGCATCTCAGCTGGATTCTCTCCAAAGATGTTGATTAATGTCATGTTTCCCAGACCAACAACAAATGTTGCCAGTTCATTGTCATGGTGAAGAGTGGCGTTACCTTCCAACTCAAGAGCACGCAAACCTTCAGTGTCCACCACCAGAACGTAGTCAAACTGAAAGTCTTGCTTGATCTCGTCTGACACTTTGACCAGCTGCATGAAGGCACCTTTGGTGCACCTGCCAGCACTCACTGAAAACTGTAATCCAAACATGGCATTCAGCATGGTGGATTTTCCACTGCTTTGTACGCCTAAAACTGACAAAACAAAAACTTTCTGGTCGCCCAGTTTCTTGATGACTTCATTTAAAACACCGGAGATCCATGTCAAAGGCACATGACCTGCATCACCATCCATCAGCTCCATTGGGTGTCCTGATATCATCAGCTCTGCAGCCAGCTCAGGGTATTTAGACCAGTCAGTCTGTCCCTCCTTTTCTTGTTTCTGCAGGGATGCATGAGCTTCATAGATCTGTCCCATTTCTCTAAAGATGTGCTCCAAGCCAAAAGTTGCTGACTGTAGATTTGTTGATATTTGTTCAAGCTCAGTTTGCTTTCTTCTAAGCTGATCAGATTTGTCATGTTTCTTCTTCAAAGCCAAGACCTCAGACCACTTTTCATCATAGCTTTGGAGAATTAAAGAGAGATCGTCTGTGGAGAGCGCATCTATTAAGATCTGAGTCCATTTCAGGAAATACTCTTTGTCTGTTGATGACAAAGATGAGAGGCTTTCAATGAACAACGTCATCAGTTCACTGCAGGAAGCAGCGCATTGATCGTCCCGTATTTGCTTTAATTTATTTTGCTTCACAGCTTTCTCTTTCTCAATGTGTCCTCTGAGGTGATACAGTTCTTTGTTTATTTTGCACCACTCATGCCACAGTCGGCCTTGACAAGGGAGAAATCTATCTTTAATCTTTGAAACATCCATCTCCTGAAGCAAATTCACTATTTTCATTGCAGCAGATTTCCCTTTTTGGCAGCCTTTGTCTTCTTCATCCACTCTGATTCCAGAGACCTCAGCCATGGCTTCAAGTTTGAAGGATGCATGTGGTCCAGACAAAATGTTTCCAATGATTCCTTTCAGTTCGTCAGAAACATCTGACTGGCTTCTGTCTTTCAGACCCATTTTGTATTTTCCCTTTTTCAACTGAACTGCACCACCATCGTTATCAGCAATGAGAATAATGAGAGGCTTTGGAGACTTGTAAAGTGCTGAGATAACTTTAGAACTTTTGTCACCTTTTTCCAGAGTTGGTACAAGAACAACAGTGACTGAAGATTTTTCCATCAGTATGTCACGCTGTTTGTCAGTTGACAGAGCATCACCATGAAGATTACAGAAGGCTATGCAGTCAGTGAATGCATCGTTGTGTTTTCCAGCAGGGCAGTACCAGGCTATCTCTGCCACACCATCCATCAGATGGCGAGACTTGGTGCTACCTGGGCAGTTTCTGTGGAAGAAGGTGCTGTGACGGTCGTTGATCAAAGAGTTCATCAGCTGAGATTTAGATAGTGACAGTGAACCCAGGCGGAAAAATGACACCATGGGTGTCTCAGCTTTGCAGATGGGCATACTCTTCATGGTGACAGTGTTTGAATCATCTTTGATTTGAGTTATCTTCCATGTTTTCATTATTTGTCTGAAAGTCCACAGAGGGCATTCAATCTCCATTGTGACTGGGTCAGGAACAAGCAAAGGTAAGGCATACTGACATTGTGATAGCTTTGTGATCATGTTCTGCTTAAGGAAGCTGTCTGAGCAGTGAAATACTGCCATTTGAACATCCACTGGATGCACGTGAGTCTGTTTTGATTGATCTGAGTCTACACTGGTGCTAAAAAGAGCATCTAAGTCATCATCTTCTGTCTCAGTGTCAAACACTGGAACAAGCTTTGACTGGCTCACCTCAGGTCTGTCTTGTCTTACAGGAATGTATCTGGCTCTGTAGTCTAACATCATCAACCTCTGAAGAAAAGTACGAGCTAGATCTTTCTCAGATGTGTCCTGGTCCTGTTTCATAGGTGGGCCGATTTTAAGAAAATCTGCTGGTGTCAACTTCTGTTGATGTTTGTCTTGAAGGTGAAGTCTGCCAAGCAGTGTTTCAGTTTCTCTTTGATGTTCTTTCTTCCTGTTGATCTCTTCAGAAATTTTCACTGACTGCTGTGAATAAGCAAACAAATATGTACTGATGTAAAAAAAAAAAAAAAAAAAAAAAGTATAACATCATATATGTATGTGTATATGTATATGAGACAAAGTAAATACGATCTTCTAAAATAAATAAGGAGCTTCTTACCTCGTCCTTGTTTCCACTCATTTCCATATCTAAGATACCTACAATAAAATAACTGCATTGTAAGGAGAACAGAGCAATGTGCTATTAAAACAATATATTTTTCTAATATATAATATTATTCACTCAGTCATTGTGAATGTTATACATTTAATTACGATAGTTCTGTTATTGACTGTTTTGTTATTATACTGTTCAATTCATTCAAATGTTACCTTTCTCGTTGGCTCTAGATGATACAGACTTGATATCAGATTCTCCTCCAACTGTTCTGCTGTTGTCACTCTTATCTGAGTGTTTAGCATTCACTAGATCGCACTACAAAAACAGGTGATTTTATATTATCTGAGATTAAGAATGTGAAGATAACAACACACAGCAGTACAATGATTCAAAGTACAACAACACCAAAAATAACTAACAACTCATTTCAACTTTGGACTTTTGGCTTTAATGAGGGGACATAGGTAAAAAGAGAGAGAGTATCTGGTGCCCAGGAGAAACTTAATATTTCGTGTGTCAAAGCAGGAGGTTCATGGAGTCAAACTCTGTTCAAGTCTAAATTAAAAATGAAAACAACTCTTCAATTAGCTCAATGTCTGGTTGTGATATACGTAATTAGGAAAAGAGAACTGGTGTTAAAAATAGAAATGCTTCTGTGTAACAAAGACTACTGAGGTTCAAAGATCTCACCTTTACATCTGATGTAGCTGCAGTCTCCTCCAGCTGGTCTACTGCAGGGTAACAACAAGCAGATAACAAACTTAAAATAAATACTTCCTGGTCAGGTAACTATTTCCGGTTGATAACACTTATTTCAAAAATGTGTATATTTACAAAGTCCACAGATCCATAAAATATATATATCCTCTCGATAATACATTGAATTTTAAACTTTTTTCTTAAATACTAAAGTACAGTACAGGTACCCCAAATTGCCTGAGTAGCACTTGAGTAAACACACTTAGTCACTTTCCACCACTGACTGACTAAAAGACAGGCAATAAGATTTTATGGATCGGAGACTACAATTGGCCTTTACCTATACCTGCTCTTTTCAAAGCTTAAAAATCAAAACGTTGACTTATTCGTTATCTAAATCTGCAATACCATATCAGCACCTTTTGAACCGATATGTGGAACTTGGTATGGGGAGTCATGTTCTGGCCACCTGGCGATCTTTCAACAGTCATTCTGTTTGCTCTGTTTTTGAGGAAAATATCTGGCTCTTTAGCTGCTAAATGCTCCACTATGTTCACCAACTAGTCTTTAACTGTGTCTGTCTGTGGTTAGGTGCTGAGCTTATTTCCTGAAAATAGCTGCGTAGAGAATATGTCACTATGAAAACAGCAAAAATAACCCAAAATAGTAAATTTATAGCTGGAACAGCTATACCATGAGCTCAGTAAAGGTCCGAACAGTCAAGGGGAGCTGCAGATGCAGGTGATAATTCTTTGCTTGTTCATGAGCAATCCTTTTACATAGCATTTTTTCACATTGCTGTTTGATACATTGTTAATGTAAAATATTGGTTACTGCCAGTTTAAATTTTGTCTACTTTATCTTTTTGCAGGTGTTATCAGTGAATGCCAACATTAAAATCTCACCTGTTTGATTTTGCTGAAACTCTGAGGAATTGACCTCTTCTTTGTGTTCTTTATTTTCATCACAGATCAGTCCACTGTAGCAGTGAGGATCATTTTCAGACACCATGACGTCTATTTTTTCCAGTAGAGCTGTTATCTCTGTTTCATCCATCATACTTCTGGTACATGTGTGGTATCTTTTTTCACTGCTGTTGGCTTTCAGGTCTGTCAGTGCACTTTCACATTTCTCATCTGACTCATGAGTCACAACTGTCATTAAATAAGCAAGTGATCTTTTCCCAAAAGCTTTTTCTAACCACTGCACTCCTGAGCTATAATGGCTGTTATGCCGACCATTTGGTAACAGTAAGATAAAGGCATGAACTTCCTGATATAATGGGAATTTGTCAATGTTTTGCAGACCAAGCATGTTAATGACATAGATGTGCCGACCACACAAATCATACAGTTTGGATGAAAACTGTTCCACATTTGCTTGCTCGTCATGGTCAAGTAAGATGTTTTTTGATCCAATCTCAATGGAATTTGTGTCACCAATTAACACAAGTGTGAGTTCAGCCATCACTGAAACAAAATAAATAAGAGAACAACATCATTATAACACTGCAGTGATCAATGAAACAGCAAGTTATACAGAGTTTGCAGAATCACAATGGCAAAAATAAAAGGTCCTCACAGTATTTGAAACTCAACTGAAATTTTATCTATAAAATCAATGTTACTGTAATCAAGATAAAAATATTACCTTTCTCATTGGTTGCAGATGATCCAGATGATTTCAGACTGTACTCCTGTGCTTTCATCATTCTTTTCTGAGTGTTGAGCTTCACCAGGTTCGTTCACTGGATCACACTAAGAGAATGGGATTTTACTAAACATTTACCAGGTTAGACCCATTTAGATTACAATGCAGCATCAAGATAAATATTAAAGTTGAAGATCAACAAAATTGTGTTGCACTAATACAATAACATAAAACAAGAGCAAGACAAAAGTGTATAAACCACCAAATGAAAATCAGACACTTAACTTTTGTCATCCAATGACAAACCAGACGGTTCATGAATGTATGTGTGTTTTTTATCATAGCTTTCCACTTGTTTAAAATTATTGTATTACTACAATATCATTATGTGTTACCAAAGTCCCTATGACAAAACTCTGACTCAACTTCAGAAGAAGGGATACTATTTAAAAAAAAAATGTTATCAAACTCGAACCATCGGTTAATATGTAGTTTTATCAGTGTTATTAAGCAGCAAGCTATCAATATACGAACACGGTAGTTTTTATTTTAATTTTTTTTGTCTGTTTACTAAAGGGGACTGGGGCCAAACACCCCTAAACACATGAGAAAGTCTGAGCACATTGTTCAGTCTTCTCCAGAGCAGCCTTTACTGCCAGTTAACAATCTGAGGAGACATCAGTCAGATGAACACCAAGCTTTTTTTGGACATTAAGCCTTTCATTCACAAACACCTCAGAAGAAAAACCTTCTGGATATTCCCTCTGTCACATCACAGAATACCAACAGCAACTTCTAATAACATTTTCTCACATCTGATACAAATCAGCAGACTCTGAGCAGGACTGAGTTCTCTTCCTCTTAACATATCAAACATGTCCCACAAAACAAGCAACACGCAGCATTGAATCAATCTGTCCACACACATCCCTCACACTGTCTTAATGTTGCAACATGTGCAACCACATTGACAGTGCTGTACATACTTTTGAAAACAAATTGCAACAAACACATAACCCACCAAATGATCAGGAACATTAACTCGATCCAGTTACCATCACATATTACATTCAGCCTCCAAGAAACAGATAGGATGACCAAGTAAACAGCAGATTTCCCCTCAATACTCAAGTTGTTCCTTTAAATAAATCCAATGCAATACAAAATGAGACTTTTAAATGCTTTAGAAGCAATTATTTTCTTTTAACGTAGAAAGCCTCAAGTATCAGGCTACACAATTGAGATGTTGTCTGTAAAGAGGGTGCAGGTGATTGGTACTAGAGGTGGGTGACCCGGTTAGGGTCAACAGGTTGTAGCTGTGTCTAGTACAGGTCACCCATTTATTTCTTTATGCACAAAAGCTGAGCCAAAATTAGAAGCTGTGGTTGTTTACCATAAATCATGATGTAAATATCTGAAAGTGACAACAGGGCCCTTTTCTGGTGCTGGAGGCAGGAGTGGTGTTCTGCTTTGTCCTGCCAGTACAGCATTTATTTGAACAGAGTGACGGTAGGTGATGGGACCAGCCTTGATACTATCATTAGTCCTCAAACCCTGCACAGGCTCACATCACCTGTCTTAGGACTCACTTTCATTTTTATTTCACTTTACACGGGTTCAAACAGTGCATAGCTTTCCCTTGTGGCTCAAACAGAATTAAACCCAAGAAAGGTTTCACAAATAAGTAGGCCTACATAACTAATGAGAACTACAGGCTGCATTAAAAATATTTAATCTACTTAACTAACATAATAAGTATATTACACTGGAGAAAAATGAAAATGAAAATAAAAATTATACAACTTTATAGATTTGTTTTGGAAGAGTTTTGTTTTGAAACATAACAGTAGATGGTGGAAGCTGAGAGTTTTTAGCAGCTATAGCACCATAGAAAGAGAAGCTGGAAGGCAGGTGAAGTTCTGCACACCCTTCAAACTCAGTGATTAGCTTCCTTTGGTAGCAGTGCCAGCCTTCTCTTTGATATAAACAGAAGTTAAAAGGTCAAACCCTTATTGCCTGTTGGCGCCACAGAAGGGGGCAGAGTGACTTCTGTTGGTTGAGCTTCCACATAGCAAGAAGGATACTAAAATATGAATTAAATAATATAAACTTAAATAAATAGGCTAACTGCTGTCCTAAGCTACATATAACATTAGTTCACCTGTCTTAATCTGAAGTTACAGGTCACCCACCAATGGCCTTACAAATATTTAATTCTCCCCAACAGCCTAACGGTATTATTTTGTTAGTTATTGTTTTTATTTCAGTCAGCTTAAGTGTTTTTTTCACACCCAGTGCTACTTAGGTTTTACTAAAAAAACGTTATTTCAGTTTAGTTTTAGTCTATAATCACCTTTCTAACTACATGGTATATGGGCTACTTTTATTGTGAAGGTTTTACCGGTTACTTTCGCTTCCATAAAACGAATAGACCACGCGACTTCCGTTTTTGGTTTATAACGAAAAACGAATTGACTGAATTTCACAGACTCTCTTCATTCTTTGTTCAAAAATTAATTGGTTATTCGTTTTTTGATTCTGGTCTGGGTATCTCTGGATAATCCGTAATTCGTTTGTAATACTAAAACGAAAATACCGTTTAGGTTTTTTTGTTTCAAAACGAAAAACCAAATAACCGTTTTCCGTGTCAGAATCAAAAAACCAAAGCTCAAAAGCTTATTGCCTGTTGGCGCCACAGAAGGCAGCAGAGTGACCTCTGCTGGTTGAGCTTCCACATAAGTAAGGCCCATAAATATGTTAAGAAACTAAAATATGAATCAAATAATATAAACTTAAATAAATAGGCTAACAGCCAGAGCTATTATTTTATTATTGTTATTATTATTTTTATTTCAGTTAATTAAAGTGTTTATTTTCTATACCCAGATTTAGTTTAGTTTTATAACCTACTAAAAACGTTATTTTATTTTAGTTTTAGTCTAAAATCACCTCTTTAACTACATGGGCTGCTTTTATTTTGAAGGTTTTATCGGTTACTATCCCTTCCATAAAAGGAATACACCACGTGACTTCCGTTTTTGATTTATAACGAAAAACGAATTGACTGAAGTTCACAGACTCTTCATTCTTTGTTCAAAAACGAATAACAATGAAATGAATCACCAATAACGAAAAACGGGCCGTTTTTAATTGGTTTTTCGTTTTGAAACAAAAAACAGATAAACGGTATTTTCATTTTATAATTACAAACAAATTAGGGATTATCCAGAGATACCCAGACCGATTCTGACACCAAAAACGATTATTTTGCTTTTCATTTTGAAACAAAAAACAGATAAATGGTACTTTCGTTTTTGTATTACAAACGATTTACGGATTATCCAGAGAAATTGATTTTGAGATTTTTAAGACTATATACAAAACACTATAGAGCTATTGTAAAAACTCACCTTTTTTATGTCTCCTTAGCCATTCGTGATTCCTGGTCTGTGTAGAAATGGCTGAAACCCCTCCAGTCCCCATCCTATTTATAGAGAGATCTGGGCGGAGTTCAGCGCACAGAAAACGCAGCAAAACGGAAACGGTGGGTTCCCTGAACACCCTGCTGTGTACACTTGAAGCCAGTTGCAGAACGTTGCGCAACGTTGCAAGGAAACATGTCGTTCAATCCGAAAATGTTGCAAACAGGTGCAAAACGTTTTGAGATTGACCTCACCCCTGGGGACCGTTTGCTTTAATGCCAGGCCTGCCCCCTCCCACCTGCTCTGAACAAAGCTCTGCATGCACATTACTTGTAAATCAGAGATAACAAAAGTGAAAGTAAAAGAGCTCTATTTCCCTGAAACCATGTGACTACAGGGAAAACTATTACTAGATTTAAAATTCACATTACCCAAACAGTGCCAAGCACATACTGCTGTCAATGGTTAACCCTTACTTACAGTTACTTGCAAAGCTACAGCTGCTACAGTTTTGTATTGATATATAAAGAGGGTCTGTCATGCCAGATGTCCGTTTTATTGTTTCCACAATGCCCAGTCAACCTGCTAGGAAGAGATGGCCTTCTTAGACTAGGATTGGCGCTAATACCATCAGCTGAGGGACAAATAGTAGTAAAGAGAAAAGCTGAATTATTTAAAGGAGACATATGTGTTCTCCAAGGAATTGGAAAACCGCGATACTACTATTCCCTCGACATTCCAGACAAGCCACCACACAATACGGCCACTGGCCTACTAAATGAGGGAAGAAACGCAATATCTAAAACACAGGACAAGATGTCAGCTGACAATTTGCATGTCACACTGTGGTACAGACATGCTGCAGGCCCAGACAGAGAATATGAGGAGAAGTTAAAGCAGGCCACTCCTGCCAAAATCACCATAAACTACATGTATTCTGATGCAGACAGCACATCAGTTGCAGGAGTAACCCTGACCGATAAGGTCATGCAGCTGTATAAAATGTGGGTGCCACCACACGTTTCCCTGTACAAAGGCAAAAACCTGCAGTGGAAAGATCTGTGAAAAATGGTGGAGCAGGGAGAGAATGCTTCTGATTGGGTGGCCGTATCTGTTAATACGTGGTCAAGTGCTAAAACCGGACTGACCAGGAAAGCTTTGTTCTGGTCAGCCCAGGTCCAGGAAGGAATACACCTCCATTCTATAGATGAATGAGAAATAATGGTGTTAACGCAGGAAGAGGAAGAACTGCTACAAGATGTCCCAGAGAAGGTGTGGTCTAAAGGGCCTAGTGACGTAGGTCTAGAAGAGGGAGCGATCCCTGTAAAAATAAGGCCAAAATCAGATTATAGACCATCAGACAATATCCTCTAAAAGAGGACGCACAAGATGGTATAAAGCCAGTAATAGAAGATTTACTCAGAGCAGGAGTAATAATTAAATGCGAAGACTCTCTTTGTAACACTCCCATCTTCCCGGTGAAGAAAGCACTCCCCTCTGTGGGATGGCGCATGGTGCAAGATTTGCAGGCTGTAAATAATGCTGTTATAGAGAGAGCACCTTGTGTCCCTGATCCGTATACCCTATTGAACTCTTTAAGACCCGATGCCAAAGTTTTTACTGTAGTGGACATTAGTAATGCATTCTTCTCAGTACCAGTGGACAAAGATAGTCAATTCTGGTTTGCATTCACTTTTGGGGGACAAAGATATACGTATAGTAGGCTCCCCCAGGGTTTTTCCGAAAGTCCAACTGTTTATTCACAAGTTATGAGCGCAAGTATGGCAAAATTTGAACCACCTGGTGATAGCCAGATTCTGCTCTATGTGGATGATGTCCTGTTAGCAACCCCTGATGAGGAAACCTGTAAGAAAGACACTGTAGCACTACTGCAACATTTGGCTATGAACAACATGGCTGACTCAACAACAAGGGGATAAAATGAGACCAATTGCATATTTTTCCTCTAAACTGGATAGTGTGGCATGCGCATTACCACATTGTGTACGCGCAGTAATAGCAGCCTCCGTGTCTGTAGAAGTAAGCGCTACAATAGTACTCTTTCATCCCCTGACCTTAAAAGTCACGCATGCGGTTTCAGCTCTACTTCTCCAGAAAAACATGATGTTTTTGTCACCCGCTAGACATCTTTCCTGTATGTCAGTTTTACTGTCACAACCACATGTGACTATAGAACGATGCACCACCCTCAACCCGGCAACGCTGCTGCCAACAGCAGACGACGGAGAAAAGCATGACTGTCAGACAGTAGCTGAAGAAACAGCTAAAAGTAGACTTGACCTTAAAGATCAACCTCTCCAAGAAGGGGAAGTTATCTTTGTAGATGGTTCTTCGCGAAAAAATGAGTTCGGAGAAACATTAACAGGTTATGCTGTGGTGACAAAGACCGCAGTACTAAAAGCGGAACAACTAATACCCAGTTGCTCTGCACAAGCAGCAGAGCTAATAGTACTAACTGAGGCATGTAAACTAATGAAAGGAAAGACGGCCACTATATACACAGACAGCCAGTATGCATATGCTACTGTGCATGTGTTTGCCCAGTTCTGGAAAAATCGAGGCATGATAACCTCTACAGGGAAGCCAGTAACACATGCCAAAATTCTGACTGAACTGCTTGATGCCATACAACTCCCAGAGACAGTGGCCATCTGCAAATGTGCAGCACATACATCTGGAACGGATGAGGTGTCTGTAGGAAACGCTTTTGCAGACAGAATGGTTAAAGCAGCAGCTACAGGGAAGCACAATGTTCTTGCAGTAATAGAACATTCGATTCTTAAAGACATGCAACAACAAAGTCCCCAGACTGAAAAAGACATCTGGTTACGTCATGGCGCACAATTGAAAGGTGACCTTTATGTCTAACCAGCTAATAAACCCATACTTCCTAAGAACTTATACAAATGGGCGGTGATATTGAGCCATGGAGTAACTCATGTCTCAACAGGAGGGATGGTAACACAAGTACAACAATACTACACTACCTTTGGTTTCAATACCTTTTCAAAAAATTTCTGTAGAGCATGCCTGACCTGCGCTAAATATAATCCACAATGTAATTTACGACCAAAGAGAGGTCGGTTTCCTGAACCCCAATATCCATTCCAAATAATACATATGGACTTCATAGAGCTGAGCAAGAGCGAAGGTAAAAAGTACTGTCTAGTGATAATAGACGCCTTCTCCAAATGGATAGAACTGTTTCCCACCCAACATCCTGACGCACAACAGTTGCGAAAACATTATGCAAAGATATCATTCCAAGATATGGTATCCCAGAAACAATCTATAGTGATAATGGAACATACTTTGTGAATCAATTAATCGAAAAAATAGGAACAATGTTCCACATGAAGTTAAAACACCTTTGCGTGTACCATCCACAAAGTGCAGGGCTGGTAGAGCGCATGAATGGCACTATAAAAAATAGACTGAAAAAGTGCATGGAAGAAACAGGAAGACCATGGACTAAATGCTTGGATCTTGTGAAAATGTATATAAACATCACGAGCACAACAGGGTTAACTCCATACGAGACTCTCTTCTGGCGACCATATAGACTACCACAGTTTAAAAACCAATGGGAGACAGATGAGGAGTCATGTCTGGCTGATTATATGAGAAAAATCATAATCACAACAAAAGAATGTTAATGGCGTAATGGCGTATCTTCCTGTCTCCCACCAGGCACTTGAATTAGTGGAGCCAGGCGATTGGGTATTAGTGAGAAGCATAAAGAAGAAGCACTGGCACTCGCCAAAGTGGGAAGGACTTTTTCAGGTACTGTTGACCACCCCCACAGCAATTAAAATAGCTGAGAGGTCTACCTGGATTCACCTCACTCATTGAAAAAAAGGTCATTTCTGCTGTTACAAGCTCCAACAAGGAAGGCAAGCCAAAGTCTGATAATAGGGTGGATTCAGGCGTTTAGAACCTGGATAGGCCCGAAAGTCAGTGAAGAAAACCACGGGCTGCCAACCTTAGTAGGCGAGCAAAGCGGGAGGAATGGCCCATAAGGCGTGGGTGGTAATGCTGCTGACGTACCTGGGGGTTTGGCCTCTACCTGTATCAGAGACAGGGTTTTGCCAAGAAAACAATTATTACACACATGGACTACAAGTGTGCATTCCAACCAATACCAGCGTGTCAGTTGTGATCCGCTTTTCTAGTCTCACTACTAAGGGCATAAAAGGCAGTGAGTACGGCACCTATACGTGGTATATGACAAATGATCAGAAAGACACATCATGGTGACCTCAGCCCTAACATCGCTAACACTCCTCGTTGTGGTTCTGACCTTATGCGGATGTTGTTTCATCCCCTGTTTGCGGACGTTTTTGTATCGACTCATTACCACCGCTATATCACCTGTTGAATACAGAATGTCTCAGTTGTATCCACTCTTAGGTGATATGGATCACTCAAGTGACAGTGATACAGATAATGAGGGTAATAATCCAATGGAGCAAGTGCCTGATCTATTCCCTGATCCTGGAGATTATGAGCGCGTCTCCTTTGTATAAAATACAACATAACTCTGAGTGTAAACATATTTGGGCTCATAAAAATGATCTTGCAGTCGAAAAACTTGAAACGAAGTGACTGAGCTTAAGTGAAATGAGAATGTGAGCAAATATGTGATAAACAGGAGGGAAATGTTGGAACCAGTATGCATATAAGTTATCTCATATTTATTCTCGCCAATGCAATCTGATACAATATGGATATATATATATATCAAGACGTGTACTAATGCAAGTGTGTAAGTCTGTCTGCAGAAATGTACTGACAGGAAGTCTACAGCGGATGGTGTGACTGAAAGAAATGACACAAGGAGCGGACAACAACAACAAAATAACAGGAACCGAGTCCTGGCCCTGAGAGGCGACTGAGCTTAATGTACACAGTTCCTGGAACAGTACTGTACAATAATATATGTGACGTTGATCACGTTTCATGTAGGTGCTGCACTCCCTTTCCCTTTAGAGCAGCAACATGCATGTAACTAGGGAACGCCCTGAATATAATAAAAAGAGAGGAAACGGAAGAGATACCTCAGAGCGGTTGGAGTATGTAACTGAGTGCATCTCTGTCCGTTCTCCTCGCGAGTAAAGAGAAAAAGGCACTAACTCTCTTGTCTTTCTTCCTTGTCTGATATATTATAGGTGTCTGAACCTGACATATACATAGGCTAATCT